TTCCTTGCGTCGCGTTTGCAGTCTTCTGGTCTACAGGCTTCGCTTCTTCGCAATTCTGGTATTGTTGGTCCAGGTCCGGCCTTCGACGACGCTCTTAGTCTTTTTAATAGGACTGTGGAGACTGACCTTTTGCGTTACCCTGGTGAGATCGCTGCCCCCAAACTCATGAAGAAATTGGCAGATATATATTTCACGAAGGTCACTGCATCTGCAGAATCCACTTTCTCCTTGTCTCCGCGTCAGGTTTCCTTATGGAAGTCCCAGCAGGGGGATTACTCTTCTGCCTGGTTGCGAGCGGTCCCGATATCAGGTCTGGGTCAGACTATGAATGGTAAGACTTACCGTTGTGTTCTTTGTTACCGGTTGGGTGTTCCCTTGTTCTCCGTATCGGCACCTTGTTCTGCTTGCTCAAGAGTTTTTGATGGGGATATTTATGGGGATCATGTAGTGTCTTGTGCTGGGATGGTGGGTATTAAACATCGGCATAACGTTATTCGTGATACCCTTGTTGATATTTGTTTCCGCTCTGGGATTTCTGCAAGAAAGGAGGTCAACGTTGGGTTCTGGAGGGAACGACGGGGCTCTTCGGCCAGCAGATGTGTTGCTTAACTCCTGGGATAGAGGCCTAGATGTATGTGTTGACTTGACGGGGTCTTCTCCATTGACTCAATCTGGGTTGTCTGACTTCGTTCCTGGTCGTGTTATGTCGGCTGCGGCTCAGCGGAAGCGAGACAAGTATGGGGCGCGTTGCAGGGCTATTGGCTATGGTTTTCTTCCTTTCTCCTTTTCTTCATTGGGGGAATTAGAGAAGGATGTCATTGCGTTGCTGAAGCGGGTTCAGGCGTTCGCTAGGACTCAGGATATTGGAGCTCGTGCGGCTGCTCACATCTTTAACAGGATTGGGTTCGCTATAGCTAGAGGGGTGGGGGCCCAGATTGTATCTCGGCTCCCCACTAATTTCTTGTAAATCTTTTGACTTTGTAGGTTTTTGTTATTTAATAATAATAATTATTATTATTATAATAATAATAATAATAATAATAATAATAATAATAATAAGAAGGTAGTTTCCTCGACTCTTTTCCAGCAGTGTTTAACGACGACGTCCCGGCGGTTAAGGTCAGTCAGAGAGTTATCGACAGTGGCTATTTTCCGGGCGACCTGCAGGTGTTTCTCCGACTGAATTCTGGTTTTCTAGCGTTGCTTTGGTGTAGTTTCTGGTCCGTTTTGCTCGTCCATTTTCAGGGTTCATCTCAGGCGAATTTAAGCCGGTGCTCAGGTGGGTTTTATCAGGTTTTCAGGAGTCCAATTTGAGGTAACAAAATCGGATTTAATCACTTCAGAATTAGGTCGATTCGCCTGTTGTTTTAGGGCTTGTTTTGGGCGTTTTCTTGGTGCTTTTTAGGGTGTTTTCTGGTCAGTTTGGGTGCGGTTTGTTGGACCGTTATGGGTGCTATTTGGTGGTCTGTTTGGGTGCAGTATTTTTGTCGGTACCAGTGCAGTTTTCTGCTCGATTTGGCTGTTGTTTTGGGTTAGTTTTAGGTGTGTTTTTCAGGCATATTCCTCGACTATTTACAGCCGATTTCAGGCTCGGTTAACTGGCTGCTATTCAAGCTGCTTCCACGGCAGTTTTGGGGTGTTTTTGGTGTTGCTTTTGATCAATTCCGATTAGTCCATTTTGCTGCTATTTTGTGGGACGATTTTGGTACTTATCCCCGTACTGTTTTGTAATTCTACGTGCTTTTTGGGTGCTTTTTTCTGCCATGTCGGTGAAGTTTCATTGTCCCTTTGTGGGTCTTAATGGTTATCAAGATGAAAGTGGGAATGGCCTTGCTAGAAGCTCTTTGATCAAACATCTTTGTGATCGTCATTGTTGTATGGGTGCGCGAGATATCACACGACATGCTCTTACTTCTAGTTTGGCTGTTTATAATGAGGCAGAAGTTACTTTTACGCGTTTGGGAATTTGGTTATGTGGTGTTTGCTACAAGACGCACACGCATCGTACTAAGTGTTTTCATAGTTCGGGTGAGATTGTGTCACCCCCGAATGAAGGAGATGGTATTGTTCGTTTTGTGCTTTATGGTTTCTCCAAGCCACAAGCTCCCTTTTCTCCTTCTCGGCTTGGGCGCTTGGGTGTTTTGGTGCAAGATAAACATTATGGTTTTGATGTGGCTCTCCTTGATAGTTTATTCTCTAAAGGGTTTCACACTATGAAGTTTATCCCTCCCAAGTGTCGTTTGGGGTTTTCTCGGGTTCTAAAAGGTTCTCTTGATAAGGTGATCTCTAAGCCTGATGACATTTCTAATTGGGTCTCTCTATTGGTGTTACCTCTTTGCATCCTTAAAACCTTTCGTCCGCGGAGTAGTCGTGAGTCTCGGTCTTCAGTGAAACGTCGGCAGCAGGAAGAGAGGATTTCCTGTGCTATTTGTTCTTGGAGTGCGCCCGGTGGTAATTTGCGGCTTGTGAGGGAAACTCTGGCAGAGGATTCTCCTACTTTGTCGATCTTTGATGATGAAGACCTTGATTTGGAAGAGCTAATATCAAGAAGTGTCATAGGAAGATATGCGATGGTCATTACACTATTGCAGTCCGGGTTCTTTCTTCTTCAGGAATTGCTCCTTATAATGAGGCCACTCTTGCGGATTTATAGTCTAAACACCCTGCTTCTCCAGCTCCATCCTTGCCTGATATACCTATTGATGGCCTTCATCTCGTTACTACTTCTGTTGTTGTTTTGGATCGGATTACGAATTTTCCACGTGGTACATCATGTGGTAAGGACGGTTTACGTGCTCAGCACCTTCTGGATTGCTTGAGTGGTGCTGCTGTGGCTGTATCAGATGAGTTAGTTGACTCTATTTCCGAGGTGGTAAATCTCTTTCTAGCTGGTAAGTGTCCTATGGAACTAGGAGAGTATATTGCTAGTGCTCCTTTTACCCCACTTGTCAAGCCCAGTGGTGGTGTTCGTCCTATAGCTGTGGGTACTTTTAGGCGGCGTCTGGTTTTAAAGGTGGGTGCTGTTATGGTTAGCCAGTCTTTAGGAAGTTACTTTGATGGTCTTCAATTTGGCGTTGGGGTTTCTTCAGGTGGTGAGGCAATTCTTCATGCTGTGAATCGGTTGATTGAGGATCGTGGCTCTGATGTGGGTCTTTCTATGTTGTTGGTGGATTTTCAAAATGCCTTTAATCTTGTTGATCGTACGGTCATGTTGCATGAAGTTCGTCGTCATTGTCCGGGTATTTCGCGTTGGGTTGAATTCTGCTATTATAATCTAGCTAGATTGTATTATGGGGACCAATCCTTATGGTCATGTCAAGGAGTGCAGCAGGGTGATCCCTTTGGTCCTCTATTTTTTGCTTTGGTTTTACAGCCCCTGGTTTGTAAAATCAGAGATGCTTTTGACTTATGTCTTCAGGCGTGGTATTTGGATGACGACATTGTTATTGGTGACACTTTGATGGTGGGAAGGTTCTGCAGTTGATTATGAAGGAAGGACCTCGTTTTGGGTTACACCTTAATGTGGAAAAAACTGAAGTTTTCTGGCCTACAGAAGACCCTCGAAGCAAGCTTATGGGTGTTTTTCCGCCTAATATTGCTCGACCTTTGCGTGGTGTTAAGTTGCTTGGTGGTCCTGCTAGTTCCGATTTCGGTTTTAGTGGTGAGCTTGTGATGCTAAGGGTGACCAAGACCATTGCGCTTATGGATAAGGTTGTTATGCTTGATGATCCTCAGTGTGAGCTATTGTTACTTAGGGCATGTACCGGAGTTTCTAAACTCTACTTTGCATTACGTACTTGTCCTCCTAGTACTTTTGAGACGGCTCAGCGCACAATCGACGGGGCTCTTCGATTTTCTTTGGAGCGTATTGTTACTACTTCTGGGCTTGGGTTTGGTGATTGGCAATGGCGCCTTGCCACCTTACCATTTGCGTTTGGAAGGCTTGGGGTATATTCCACAGGTGATGTTCGTCATTATGCTTTTCTTGCTTCTCGGTTACAGTTAGTTGGGTTACATACACAGTTTTTACGACATGCTGGCATTGTTGGTCTGGGATGAGCCTTTAGAGATGCTTTGAGTCTGTTTAATGGAATAGTGGAGTCTGACATTATGAGTAATCCTAGTGAGATCGCTGCCCCTAAACTCATGAAGAAATTGGCAGATATATATTTCACAAAGGTTATCGCTTCTGCAGAATCCGCCTTTTCTTTGTCTCCTCGGCAATCAGCATTGTGGAAATCGCAGTAGGGAGATCACACCTCTGCTTGGCTTCGGGCAGTTCCTATTTTTGGGTTGGGTCAGACGATGAACGCAAAGACCTACCGATGTGTGTTGTGCTACAGGATGGGTGTTCCATTGTTCTCTATCTCGACGTCGTGCTCTGCTTGTTCTCGGGTTTTTACTAGGGATATTTTCGGTGATCACGCGGTGTCGTGTGCTGGTATTGTGGGTATTAAACATCGGCATAATGTTGTCCGGGATACCCTTGTTTGATATTTGCTACAGATCTAAGATTTAAGCAAGAAAGGAGGTTGACATAAGGTTGTCTGGAGGGAATGACGGGACACTCAGACCTACTGATGCGTTACTTTATTTCTGGGATCGTGGTCACGATGTTTGTGTGGACTTAACAGGGTCTTCTCCTTTAACACAGACAAGGCTATCTGACTTTTGTTCCTGGACAGGTTGTGGTTGATGCGGCTCATCAGAAGCGGGTGAAGTATGAAGCTAGTTATCGGTTGATTGGATATGGTTTCATTCCCTTCTCCTTCTCTTCGCTTGGGGAATTAGAAAAGGAGGCTATTGCGTTGCTGAAGCGGGTTCAGAGGTTCTCGACGACGCAAGACATTGGGGCTCGTGTTGCAGCCTATATCTTCACTAGGGTAGGCTTTGCTATAGCTAGAGGAGTGGGGGCCCATATTGTATCTCGGCTTCCCACTAATTTATTGTAGGTTGTATGACTTTGTCGGTTTTTAATAATAATAATACAATTAAAATCAGAATTTTCAAAAAAAAAAAATTTAGAATTTTATTAATATAAATCAAAAGTTTGTACATTGTTATCTATAAGGAAAATTACAAAATTAAATTATCAATAGTTAAACTAAGAAAAACACAATTAAAAGTTAAAACCAAACAATTTTGTCCCCCAAACAATATTTTCAGCAATTCTTTGGACAGCATTATCATTTCTTTATCTGCTTCTCCAATTTCTCAAGTAAAGCAACTCGGGAACAATTTGGGAAGCATCTTCTTCAGCAGTATCCACCTCTAGAGCACTATTTACACATATACAATGGATCTAAATCCCCTGATAAACAAAACACAAACAAATCAAAATGGGATAATAGAAGAATCGAGCAAAAAAAAAAAGAAGAAGAAAGTAAGGAACTTGAAGTAAGTCAGAAACCTGCAACAAAGAAAAAAAAATCTGCAACACAGAATAAAAATTAGAGCTATCCCATTCCAGCATATAAAATAACACGTTAAATAAAACTATGACAAATCAAATTATAACGGCATTCTTTATTGTTTAGGGTTTAGGGGAACCTCCTAAAGTAGAATTTAAGATATCCTAAGCAGACAAGGCTTTTACACTTCATTCAATTATCTAGTTCACTACACAGAGATGAAAGAAACATACTTTCAAGCTGAGTAATTTAAAGCATCAATATAATCTTAATAAAGAGGTAGGGAAAGCTAAGGCTACAGCTAATTATGTTCTTCCCTCAGCAATATTTTTATGCATAAACATAAGTTAACTAATACTAATCATACAAATCATTATAGGTCAAGAGACAAGTTCATCCAAATTGACCCTAATTCAACATATGCACATTTAGTATATATAGAATTTGCTCAGAATCACACAATCAAACATACAAAGGAAATAAAAACTCCAAAATTGAATCAGAAATCAAGCCGCTCTAGCCACAACCAAAAGGCGGTGACATGCAAGGCTTCTGTAGGCTCATGCCTCATGTGAAAGACTAACCTAGAGAAGAGTTGGCGGTTGATGTTATGAGATGAGAAGAACTCTTCTTTGGTGATGGTGCGACTACTATCACCCTCTTCCATTTGGTTTTGGGAAAAATATGGTCAAAAGAAAGAAAAAGACAATTTCCACCTAAATCATGTGCTTTTAACCAAGACTTGAACAACCTATCATCCTAACTCAAGTTGCCTGAATTCTGCTCATTTCAAAGTCAATTACAGAATTTATAGCAAATAATCCCCAAAAATAACACTAATTAAGTAATCAACTCAGAACCTAAATAATTAAACCCTAATTATATAATCAAATGAACAATACATATAAATCAATACTTATAATTAAACCCTAATATACCTAATCAGACAAATGCTCATTGTTACAATACATAGAAAACATCTGATAACTCAAAAATTTAGAAAAAAAACATCAAAACATTTCCAGTGAACACAAGATATATAAAGCAATCAAAATCACATAACCTAGCAACAATAGTTAATTAGACTCGTAAATTCCCCAAAATTAGACATAAATCTGAATTCATATAAATCAAAGCCTAAACATGGACTTGTTTTTTAGCAAATTTTTCTGTTTCTTGATGAATGCAGAAGAGATGAATTAGAGAGGAACGAGAAAGAATAAAAAGGAGAGATAAAGAGAGAAGTCTTACTCAAAGATCAGGGCACGAAGCTGGAGTTTGAGCGACGTTAGTTCAGCAACTCTCCTCCACCGCCATCAATTACAAATCGAAACTCACCATCGCTGCTCTCCACCATCACCAACAGTTACAAATCGAAACCCTAGAAATCGAAAAAAATCAAAAATTTGAACTAGTAATTATGCAAAGGAACCCTAAATTTGAAATTTAAAGAGGAAAGTTTAAAGAAGCTCATACCATGAACACCAATCAAAACTCTAAAAATCGAACAGCACCGTCGTTATCACTCGCGACCACCATCACCACCGTGACCATCAGTGAATGAGGAGGGAGAAGAAAGAAAGAGAATTTAATTTGTGAGCGACGGTGGTTGTGGATGTGGTTGCGGCTACGGCTGCGGCGATGGTTGCCTTCGTCTTTGAGGAAGAAAAGAGGGAGGACGAGATAAAGAGAGAGGAGAGAGAACTGAGGTGGTAAGGTCTGAGGAGAGTGAACAAGATTACGAGAGAGATGAGAAAAATAGAATAACGGAGTATTTAATATCACTGCCGTGGCAATAGCCTTTCAAGTCGTTGTATTAGTACACCTAATGCAATGGCTTCTTAAAGCTGTTGTGTTAGCTCCACCTTTTGATGTACAAAGTTTATGTCGTTGTATTAGGCTTATCTAATGCAATGGCAATAAAATGAGCCATTGCACTAGCTCTTTTTTGCCGTTGCATTTGATTAAAAATGTAGTTGTGCTTATAAAGTTATCATGCTTATTTAGTCTTTATCAACGCCTGACTGTCGAACAAATGTATCCCAGCATCTACATCTCCAAAGATCAAACTTCTTGACAAAGTCATAACTCTTTGTGAGAGAGTAGAGTTGCAAGAAATTCCAAGTACACAGATTAAGTTATCTCTGGAACTTATGGCTCATGTTCGCTTGCTTGGAAACAATGATCCAGTTGCATGGGAATATTTGTCTGTTGCATGTCAAGCATGTGCTATTGAATTGGCCAACAAAAGATCATCTATCCCCCCTTTAATGATTTTTGATATAACCCAACAAGTGTCCCAAGTCTTCCAACAATGAGATCTTTTAAAGAAGAAAGACCTACAGCTAGATGTAGAGATGGACAACCTGCGAACTGAGATCAATGAAATCATGGAAGAAGAAAATAAGCTTCAAGTCAGAAGAGCTATGGTAGAACAAAAGCTTTAGGATTGTAGACGAGAGAAGAAACAATTGAAGCGCCAGATCTCTAAGAGTGCTCCAATAGTTCAAGAAAATTTGTCTCAATTTGATTGCCATGGTAAATAGATGACGTTGATGAATAAATGCAAGGTTCTTCTTTCTGAGGTTAAATGCAAGGCAATGGCTGAAAAGTCCCTTCATTTGTAAACAGTACATCTTATTTGTCAAAAGCCTCTATGATGGATGCTTTTGTTGTAAGTTTTTATACTGTTCCCATATACTTGGGTTGTACTGTTTTAAGAACTTTCCATTAAGCGCCCTTGGAAACATTTCCCCATCTAACTCTTGCAACAAATAGGCATTCCCAGACATGTCTTTGTGAACTCTAAATGGACCCTCCCACTTAGAAGACCATTTGTCAAAGATATGATCTTTATAGTCATGCTCAAGAAGTTTCATCTTCCACACTAAATCTTCGTCCAAAAAGATTTCATGTTTTACCTTTTTGTTGTAAGATTTTGCTACTTGTTTTTTCTGGGTTTCCATTTTAGCTTGCACTTGGATTTTTTCACCTTCAATGTCCATCAATTCAATGGACATCGATTGTTGGTAGTCTGCTTGGCTTATACCCATTTGTTTAGCTACCCTGGCGAACTTAGCGCTTAAATCGATTTTGAAAAATGAACGGAAATACCGTGCTGGTACATCAAGTTCATGTCCATACAATAATTGGTAAGGAGTAGTCCTATTGCATCTCTCTTTGATGTTCTATATGCCTAAGTAGCATAATGTAAAAGAACGTGCCAATTTTTAGAATTTTCATCCACCATCTTAGCTATTCCTTTAGAGATCACTTTATTAGTGGTTTTGGCTTGTCCATTGGCCTAAGCAAAGTAAGGAGTTGAATGAATCTTTTGGATTTCAAATTCCTTAAGATAGGAATTGAACTCGGGCCCTGTAAACATAGCTGCCTAGTCTACAGTTATAGATTCTGGAATCCCATATCTTGTAAAGATTTTCTCTTCCAAGAACAAGATCACATCCCTTACATTTAAACTTTTGAAAGCCTGGACCTTAATCCACTCTGTGAAGTAATTTGTAGCTATCAGAATATACTCATGGTGAGCATATGAGGGAGGTTTAATAGGCCCAATTGCATCCATCGCCCAACCTCTGAAAGGCTAGTGCTTGATAATGGTGTGTAATTCTATTGCTGGTGTCCTACTTATTGGTCTAAAGTGTTAACATTATTAAAACCTTTTGCATACTGCAAAAAATCTTGTATAACTGAAGGCCAATAAAAACCCATGTGATGGATTAACCACCTCATTTTAATTCCTTCATGGTGTGACCCACAAATTCCATGATGAACTTCTGCTTTAATGGTTTACACTTACTTTGTGCTAACGTACCTTAGTAAAATGCCTTAAGGATTTTTTTTTATACAACTTAATTCCAATAAGAAAGTATTTAGTAGCTGCTAGCCTAACTTTTGCTAGCACCTTCCCTTTTGAGGGGCCTTTCAAGTACTCCTTAATCTCCTCTCTCCAGTCTATGTCCTGGGTGAGGATACTATATTAACGTACTTCTGCCTTCACTTTCTCATCTAAAGGTTTCAATTTTTATGTGTTTATGTGAATCACTGATTCATCGAAACCTTCAGAATCGGGTAGCGATGCTTGTTGTGCTAAAAAGCCAGCCTCTATGTTTTCATCTCTTGGGATATGAGATACTTGGATGAATTCAAAGCATTAATAAGCTCTTGATCGGTAGATGAAAAGGTCATCGCCAGAGGTGAGATTCCTTTATATTCTTTGTTTACTTGCGCTATCACCCATTGCGAATTGCCTAACACCTTAACCTTCGTAACTCCCATATCTTTTAGAGTCCTCAAACCAATCACTAAGGCTTCAAACTCTGCTCTATTATTTATGCATTGAGTTGAGAAAGTAATCGCCATTTTAGTCATTACACCAGAAGGTGAATAAATCACAATCCCACTCCAGTTGACTCTCTCCTGCTAGATCCATCTAAGAACATTGTCCATGGTTTTTCTTCCTGCACTATAACATTCTCCATAGGTGGATGGTCAGCCAAAAAGTCAACCTACGCCTGTACTTTCACGGCTTTCTGAGGCACATAAGTCAGCTCGAATTGTTATAGATGCATACTCCATTTGCACAACCTTCCCGATGAAAGGGTGATTCAATAAGTATTTGAGTACATTTGTTGGTAAAATGATCTCTACCGGGAAATCCATAAAATAGTGATTAAGTTTGATGGAAGCAACATACAAAATCAAACACCACTTTTCAACATTAGTGTATCTAGTTTCAGTATCATGTAGGATTCTGCTTAGATAGAAAATTGCTTATTCATGACCATGTTCATTCTCTTGGGTTAGAATTGCTTGAAATTGAATCCTTGGTAGCTGAAAGATTCAATCTCAATGGCTTTCCATTTTGTTTGGGAGGAATTATTACTGGTGTAGTCGCCAGTTTCCTCTTAATTTGTTCAAAGGATCTTAATGTTCAGACTCCCATTTGATCTTTTCTCCCTGTTTAAGTTTAAGAAGAAGAGAAAACACTTTTGTTTTCCCGGCAAGATTGGTGATAAATCTTCAAACATAGTTAATTTTCCCTAGAAACTTTTGGAGTTCCTTTATTATTGGGTGGAGGTGACGCTTCAAGGACAACCTTAGCCTTGTTCTGATTAACCTCGATGTCGTTCTTATGGACCAGGATTCCCAAGAAGTTACTGGCTTTAACCCTAAAGGGACATTTAAGGGGGTTCATCTTTAGGTTGAACATCCTCATCCTTTCAAATGCTAGAATGAGATGTTCCAAATGCTTTGATAAGTCATGGGATTTTACCAAAACATTGTCTATGTAAACCTCCATAAGTTGCCAATCATTTCATCAAATATGAGATTCATAGCTCTTTGATACGTTGCCCCTGCATTCTTAAGTCCAAATGGCATCGCCACACATTCATAGAGTCCCAAAGAACCTGGGAACCTAAATGCCGTCTTTGAGCGATCATCTTCAGCAATCCTTATTTGGTAGTACCCAGCGAAGCCATCTAGCGTTGATACAAACTCATGTCTTGATGAGGCATCTATCAACATATCTTCTGCAGGCATGGGGTATTGATCCTTTGGGGATGCACTGTTGATATCTCTATAATCTATGCATATCCTGATTTTGCCATTCTTCTTAATCACATAAACAATGTTAGCTATCCACTCTGCATATTTGGTGGGCTGTATGAATCCTGCCTCCAAGAGTTTGGCAATTTCTTCCTTTATTTTTGGAATTAATTCTGGCGATAAACGTCTTGGATTTTAGACTTTAGGGTTGTAACCAAGTTTAATAGGAAGCCTATGCTGGAAGATAGAAGGATCTATACCAGGCATTTCGTGATGCTCCCATGAGAAACAATCCTTGTATTTGTGAAGTATGTCAATCAATAATGACTTGTCCTCACTATGTAATTCCTTACTTATACAAGTGAATCTAGGTCAATCATTAGTTTCGATATTGACTTCTTCTAGAGGATCATGGACTTCCTATTTGATATCTTTACTCTTAGCCCATACCTTTTTATTCTCTTCTCCACCATAAAACTCTCTATCTGAGTTTGGCGATGATCAAGTATGGTCATCAGAGTTTGAGTAATCAGACAAACATCCAGGAGTCTCCATGTTTGTGTTAACCTCTATATTATATTGTGAATAATAACTTGCATATAGATTTTGAAGGGCTAATAAAGTACCAGATCTGAATTTGCTTTTCATGTAATTATCCATAATATTTGTTCAAACTACAAATGTACAAAGAAAAGATACTAAACATATCTAATCTTAAGTACTCCAAACTCAAATCTAGACTCTGCAGGTGAATTATGTTTATCTTCATCTGCATCTGCCTCTTCTATCTTGGCGATTGCACTTGACACCACCTTCAGTTTAGGAACGGACTGGGAATCAAGTTTGAGTACAATCTCATCTGTCTTTGGTGTTGACTTCACAAGAACCCTTGGAAAATCTTGGTTAGTATCAATCATAAAAGCTTCTACATCAGCACAAACTACTTCGTATTCATCACCATTCCATAATATTATTTTCTGATTCAAAGAAGAAGGAATAGCATACGTTTGATACAACCATTCTCTACCTAGGATAACATTACAAGATTCTTCTCCTCTTAGTAGTACCTACTTGGATCTCAATAAATGCCAGCCCTTCAGTACATTCAGACTTACCATTGAAACCAGCTATATTAATCTTAACACTGGCCAAATCTTTTTTTCTTTTATAAATTTTATGAAAAATAGACAAAGGCATCAGATTTATTGTGGCTCCTGTATCGACTAATACTTTTCTTAGCTCAAACCCTTCAAAATTCACAGTCACAAAAAGAGGTTTATTGTGTGCATTATTAACATTGTAATTTTTTAACAAATGTCGAATGACTAACTGTTCTTGATCATGTGTTATTGTTTCTCTACTAGGTGAGCTAGATGATGCTTTATTCAATTCAGCATATATAGTAGAGAGTTTATACTTACCTGTAGCTTCTGCCTGATCCACTTCATATGCCCATGAATTGGTACCAGGCTTCACTACTTGAGCTCTAAACTCCACTAAAGTCACAGTATTTCAATATGCCTCGCAATCCTCCTCTGAATACTTTAACAGAAATTACAGATCTGATCTTGAAACTTCCAGATTAAGACCTTCTAGGTCATAGTCTAGTAACTCAGATGCTAGTTGATCTGTGGCCATCAGATCCTCGCCTAAGTTTTCTTCCTTATGATATTCTAAAGCTGGGTCCCTTTTCGGAATGCTTTCCGTCAGCTCATTCACTATGGGATGATTCTGGATATCATCGCCAGGCGGCTCGATAGATTTTTCACCATCCATCGATTGTCCAATCGATGTGTCAACTCCAGGTTGGAAAATTTGTGATGGAAAGGTTCTAAGGACACCTTTCTTCAAAGCATCTTCATCCAGTTGAACTGTCATTGGTTGAATCTGGCTGCTTAAACTTCTTCAGACTGATTTCGCCTTTTTTTTTTATGGATTTCCTTTTCTCCTTGAGCTTTAGGTTATCATTATTCGTCATTCTGTCTTTCAACACTCCTTCTGTTCTTCTTTTCATGCTTACACAGTTGTCATATTGGCCATAGGTAAAAAGTTCTCCTTTCCTTTATTCACCTTATGTAAACTCAGCTTATTTTTCATAGAAGGATTCAGATTTTTTATTTATGTCCTCTTCTTATGGTGAATTCTTTGGTGTCTGGGTATCCAATTATGATAATTTGGAATGATCTCAGTCCTGATCAATTCAAAATGCAACAAATCAACACAAGAATGACAAAGATTGTGCCGCAAATTCTAAAGTCCCTCTACTACTTTAGTTTGCAAGGGAAATAATTGAATTGCCTCTTTGTAAGAATGTGCCTTTTGTTTGCGATTGCTCATCTTGTCAGGTGACCTATTAGCGTTTTGACCATTCTCAATGGACTTAGTTTTGTCCTTCTTCCCTTTAGGATTGAATTCAGCAAGTTCATCGCCTAATATTCCTACTCTGAAACGATTACTACATTCGTTTTGATCTTTTTCTTTAGAAACCCTTTGAAGGCCAAACATTCACTGGTAGCATGAGCAGAACTAAAGTGCCATTTCCATATCATCATATCTTCATAGTCATCGTCCTGACATTGGGGTGACACAATTACTCCTTTATTGACTAACCTCTCATACAATCTGACTGCAACAGTAACCTCTTTCAGTCTCTGTATTTCATCCTGCACAATATCCATGTCAGCACTTACCATAAAATAATTCGTTTCATGGACTTCAAATTCTGAAGCAGATTCTGACTCTACTTCACAAGAGCTAACTTTTTCATTAGGGAAATTTATGTGTTGTTTTTTTTTTATCAATTTCATCCTGAATCTTGTTCCTAAATATTATGCAATCGCTAGTCTTATGAGTAAAAGTATCATGCCATTTACAGTAGTTCTTTCCTTTGACCTCATGAGGACGTACTTCTTGTTTTATGCCTCCCTGCTAACTTAATCTTTTTATGACTTAAAAGCCAATCAAAAATTTCATCACATCTCCTAATATCGAAGGTGTATTCTCTCTTTTAATCAGATTTCAAATCTTTCTTATAACTGAACTTCTTATTAGTTAAAGGAGGACATTTAAACGAAGGACCCTATACAAATTCAACTATCATTGCCTCATACATGTCATCTTCCTGAGTACACTCTTCAACCATACTAGCATAATACTTATGTTTAGATCTAGACTCTTCTTCTAAACATCTTTTGTAAGCCATTACAGTGTTAGATAAAGCGACAAAATCAGGGAAATTTTGTCCTTCAAACTTTTTGCTGAAAAGAAAAGACAAACCCTTTTGAACGACAGACACGAATTCTGACTCAAGTATATTCAAGTGACATCTAATCTTAGCATTCTTAAATCTATGTATGTAATCCCGTACAGGCTCTCCTTTTTCTTCCACTATCTGGGCTAAATCACCTATAGTGACCCATGCTTCAACCCTATTGAAATGGCGAAGATATTGTATTTGCATATCTTGTCAATTTTAAATTGAATTTGGTGGTAAGTGAGTAAACCATGAAAAGACAGTACTAGTAAGAGAATTGGAAAACATTCTAAACTTAAGGAATTCATTATCTGCCGCCTCTCTACATTGGCAGTTGAATATGGCCAAGTGTTCCTCAGCAGACATTGTACTGTCACCAAAGAAAAGAGGGGAAAATTCAGGATCTTTGAACCCTCTTGGAAACGAATACATCTTATCAATCCACTCAGGATATGGACTGCACGTTCCCTTTCAAGCATATCCACCATTTTGACCCATAGCCCTTTGGATCATTTCCTCCACCAGTCTGAGTAGGGGTTCTTGTCCCATTTGTGGAGGTTGACCTTACATTGGACCATTAGGTTGTTGAACTGGTATATCTTGCATATGAAAAGGATTATATTGATTCCCTTGAGAATTATGGAAACCCCTATATCCAACGCATGTCCCTCCTAAAGTATTAAGATTGGGTTGAGCCATCGCTGGATACCTATCTCCATATGGACCACTGGCCTGACCCTGATTCCATGAGGAACCTTGTGAAGGGTGGACAGGGATTGAGTATCCATGTGGATAATGGTTATAACTCCCAGGTTGTCTGGATGATTGTTGACCATTCATGCCAATAGGTTGAGAGGACATCCTTTGTGCAGATACAACAGCTTGTGTGTGGCATGATGGATCTGGCAGATCTCCAATACTATAGTTGGCATAACTAACTCCAATCTCTACTCCCGAAGGAGGTATGTTACTCATTGAAGAGGTTAATGGCTGTGTGGTAACCGGTAGAGGCAAAGAAGAAGAAGATGGACCCTGGCCATTATGGTTATAGCCTGACTCATAACCTAGCCCTAAACCATTAACTCTTCGTTGACTCCTATGTATACCCCTCATCAGAACCAATAGGAAGGATACTTCTTGGAATTGATAGAGGGGGAATATTTGCATGAGATCTTGTCATATTCTCTACTTTACGGTATCCCAGAGGGACGTTATCCCTTTGATTTGCTTCAGTAATCCCACTACCTAAAGCAATTAAAACATTCATCAACTTCTCATTAAGTTGGTTATGCTTCTCCACTAAAGGTTCAAGCCTTGTAACCACTTCGGTTGCTACACTTTTTGATAATGCCACGTTAGTAGCGTTCAGAGTATCATTAATATCTAAAATAATTCTATCTACCTGTCTAGTAACCGCTTCTTAGGTAATGGAGTCAAAGTTTCGCAACTCGACACTTACCACTCTGGAAGTTTCTTTCACCATGACACGATAGTAGTTATCAAACTGCTTCCTATTATTTTCTTTTAGATCCTCCATCAGACTCTTCACGATTTCCACATATTTAGTGTAAATTATGTTGAGTAAGTGTTTGGTAGGGGACTGGCTTTTCATTCCTTCTAAAACCGATTCATCTTGCCTTTGTGTATGAGGCTCGAATGGTTCGAAAGAGTGTGCCATGTGTTCCGTTGGCAGTTGATTTTCTAGATCTATTTGATCCTCTAAAATAGGTTCAGGATTGTGTTTAGAAGAATTAACATCTTTCTGAGTGTTTCCTTTACGTGCTGAACACTTAGGAGCCATGGGAAAAACTTCCAAATTAACAAGAGTTAAATGGATTAAATATAGTATTCTCCCACTGTGGTCGCCAAAAAACTTGTTGAGGTAAATATTGCTCTTTACCAACAAGTTAAATACTCTATCTTGTTCTAGAGTATTAGGGGGCTGCCCCTCGAGTTACCGGTTTCAAAGATTGATAACCCTGCTAAGGAAGCTTTTCCAAAAGAAGTAAAACAAGTTAGATTGCTCAAAGAAACGAGTAGATGATACAAATGCATTCCATCAATTTAAGGATAGAGTCAGATCTACAATTGTACAAGTTAAAGGAGAGGTTACCTCCATGGTCATACAATTGGAAAAGACGAACGACCTTCAATACATGCTATGTGATAAACTGCACTATTGCTTGGCTACTAAGCCAAGGGAAACTACGAAAGCTAAGAAGAAAGCTTAAAAGAAATTAAATGCTTATTGTTGATTTATTTGCTGATGCCCTTCTTTTTGTCCCTGCAATTCTATTTATAGGCAAAATGGAGCGGTTATGGCTGACTCCCATAACTGTTGTACGGTTATGCTTCTTGGCGCCAATACTACTTTGAAAATTAAAATCATCCATTAGCCTTCTAATCTGGTTTATGTATTATTGGGTCTTAGCGTGATATCAACCCAGCGGTTGTAATGTTTTAATCAAATTAGCCCAAAGACCCTTCACTGACTCTAGGACTTCTCAGCTTGGTCAAAGTCAAGAAAGTCCATTAAAATGTCAAAAATATGATTTTTGGGTGTAACAGTGGTGTATTTGAGGATGTTTTTTTTTTTTTTCTTACAAAATTTCCCATTTTAAATTATGTTCCCATCAAATCCTAATTCACCTAGGTCAATTAGCAAATTAGTAAATACTTCGTAAAATTTTGGCATAACTTTTTATTTATAAAAAAAAATTGAAAAAAATGTAGGAAGTCACGTGATGAGAGAGAAACAGAAATTCCAATACATGAACAACTTAACAAAGTCTTACATCCACCCCACGAATTATCACAAGTTCTCTGTTTCCCACCCCTTTCCCTCTCTCTCCCCCTTAATTATGATTAAAAACCCCAAATATAAATAAACCCAAACAAACCCTCCTTTTTTCAAAATTCACACATTTCATAATCCTCTTCATCTTCTTCTCGAAGAAAATTCTCGCCATTTTCAGAGGAGAGAGAAAGCTCGGAAACACCCGATAATGGCGGCTTACAGAGCAGAAGATGACTACGATTACTTGTTCAAAGTAGTATTAATTGGCGATTCTGGCGTCGGAAAATCCAACCTTCTCTCTCGTTTCACCCGCAATGAGTTTAACCTTGAATCCAAATCAACCATCGGTGTTGAATTCGCTACTCGTAGCATTCATGTTGATGATAAGATTGTTAAAGCTCAGATTTGGGATACTGCTGGTCAGGAAAGGTACTTTAGTTTTGTGATTTTGCATGCATTTTGATTTTTTTTTTTTTTTTAATTTTTTTGTGTAATTGATCTTTGTATTGTTTGTTTTTGAGCCCTAATTTTGTGTTTATTTAGTGCATTTTTTGAATTTTTTTTGACTTGTTCTACGATTTTATGGTCTTTGGTCAATGGTGTTGCTGAATTATGCGTTTTTGATTAGCTGTTGACTATTTCTTTGGAATTAGGTTTATTTCATTTGACTTGATTTTGATTGGAAAGTGGATAATAGTTAATTGATTAGCCATTTGTTGTTTTTTCCTGTTTTTTGTTTTGATGCTGTAATTGAAATTTGGATATATTTTGACCTGACCCTGGATTATGAGATATTATGCATGAGTAAATAATTTGAATTTGCTAATTGCAAAGAAGTGGAATGTTCGAATAGTCGAATACACAGATTGTTGGAGAGGCATTGATCGTCGAGCTCGGCGATCAATCTTAGACATATGTTGATCTTGTTTGATTTTCTGAATGGGTGGTTTTCACTTGAAAAGGATGGAAGGATTGAGGGGGTTGGGGGAGAGGGGTTTTTGTTGCTAGGTTTTGACTTGTTGATGTGTATATTTTGATATTCATGTTCGCTTTGTTTTGCGTTATGCTCTCTAATTGTATGACAATATTAGCCTGAAATGCAAGAATAAAAGTGTGTTGATATTGGTATGCATAATGGCTTTATGTTATAACCGTTTGGGAGGATACAATTCGTGTCATACGTTTTCCTCGTTAGGTGTCTTGAGAGTAAGAATATCCAGCTCTGTATATGTTTGTGTAAGAAAATTTTATTAAAACTTGTATGGCGCAACAATGGAAATATCTACTCATATATCTTTCCTTACATTTTGCAAAAGAGATGAAATTTGTCATATCCTTGGCAGTCACAAATTAAATTGTTGAATTATCCTAAGCTGCATAAATGAAGATAGTCTATAAGGGCCAATTAGACTGCTAAGAAAGGAGGTACCCACTTAAGATGGTAGCAGTCGTAGTGGTGGTATGAACAGTGAAAGAATATGCCTGTGTTATAAGGAATGATATCAAGAGAGTAATATTTCAGGGCTGGAAGTCAGTAGAATCTGCTCATGTTCTGATTTTACTTATGCAAGCTCAGCATGTTTTTTGATGAGTTAAATCCGTGGAAGAAACTTTAATTCATACTCATCATTTGGAAGAGACAATACTTATGAAGCTTTGGTCATTATATGAGAATTCATTCTTGAAAGTGGATTGGTGCTTAATTTTTAATTAAATTTCCAACCAGGACTTGTAATTTTCGTACAAACTTCTTCAGAGGTTGCTTTATTCATTGCACTTTGTATGATTTACATTTCTGCTGCTTATTTTTCATTGGACTTTGAAAGTTTGATCTGGATAAGGTTCTTGTCCAGTAAAATGGATCAAAATATATATGTTTATGTGATTTTAAGTATTAATTAAGCTGCTTGTCATTACTGTATTTGAGTAGTCAAGGATTGGGTGTGAAGTATAAGAAATTAACTGTAATTTGTTGATCTTTTAAGCATTTCCTGATGTTTACAGTAAAGTTTCTTAGTAGGCTATTAACATTTATTGTCATAATCTTCTGTGTTTTCATTTGTTAAAATACACATTTTGTGTCAAACTTTCCCCATCAATTCATGAAAATTACGCTGAATTATAAAATCGGCCTAATATGTTGCTGTTTAGTATATATCTTGTTTAAAATTTTAGCTTTTCATAGCCGTTTCCTTTCTCTTAAGGTGTCATTAAAATTTTATTGTATTGTTTGTCATTAATCTCTAAATAATGGTCATTCCTTTCCTCATGTTGGTCATTGAAGGTACCGTGCTATAACTAGTGCATACTACAGAGGGGCTGTTGGTGCTCTATTGGTCTATGATGTTACCAGGCATGTAACGTTTGAGAACATTGAGAGATGGTTAAAGGAATTGCGAGATCATACAGATTCCAGCATTGTGATAATGCTCGTGGCAAACAAGGCTGATTTGAGGCACTTGCGTGCTGTTTCCACTGAGGATGCCAAGGCCTTTGCAGAAAGAGAGAACCTCTTCTTCATGGAGACATCTGCTCTTGAATCTTTAAATGTTGAAAACGCATTTAGTGAAGTCCTCACCCAAGTATATCATGTTGTCTGCCGCAAAGCACTTGATGTTGGGGGTGACCCAACTGCCTTGCCAAAGGGTCAAACCATTGATATCGGTAAGGATGATGTATCTGAAGTGAAAAAGGTTGGTTGCTGTTCTGCCTGATCCAGCTGTAAGATAATCGAGATGCTTATCTCATCGCACAGGAAATTTTTGTAAAGTTCTCACAGCAAGCCATGGGTTTTGTGAAAATCATTCGAAGTACACATTTATATTCATTTCAGAACTTTGAAGAGGCCAGATTATTGAAGTAAAGAGGGATATGCTTATTTTGGTTTTATATTCCTTCTCTGCTTATGGTAATTTGTGTTTCCTCGTCTTATACGGAGTACTATCTACAGACATACAGTACTAATAATAGCTTAGACATGTTTTCAGAATTCAATTTAATTTTCCAAAAGTTTATTGGCATTGAACACTATTTTCATAAGAGCAAATAGATAGACTTGGAAAAACTAACTCGCACGGTATACATGCGAAACACTATGGATCCAACATGACAATGCAAGATGATAAGCCAATAATAGATAAACTTGTAACACTTTTGTATAGAAGTTTAACAAAGTTTGAAGTTTTATGTGGATGAAAAATTAATTGCAGGTTTCTAAAATTCGTTGAAAGTCAATTAGTAGTTGGCAATTGGCATGCCTTATTGCCTTGTGCATCCAAAGGAGAATCAATTGTAATATTATTATTTTTCAGAAAAATCTCAAGACTAATAATCATCATTGAGCAAATAAACTACACGTCTACGCACATCATTTAATATACAGGTGGATTGAGTTTAAGTTAGGACAATGATTTTGGTTGTACAAGCAGTCAAGCACCATTGGTAGTTTGGTACCAACAATTAATTAAATCAGCTATGAGTAATAAGCTAGTTGTTTCAACTTAATATATTTCAATTTAAATGTTGGATATACAACATTTTGTTTACGGAGAGCTCTCTCCCCCTATTAAAGCTAGACTCGGGTAGAATTTGAATTAGTTGAAGTATGAAATTATCGGACAAAAAACAAAATGAGAAATGTATGTAATGTATGCATGCTATTAGGATCACATTGATAAAGCAGAACAATACATTATTTGACTTACTTGTCAAAGTAATAACCATCACGTCCAAACCGATAATTGAATCATCAAAATCATTACCTTATTGCTTGTGATTCTAAATTCACAAGTTACATGAACCAAATCAACATGATTAAATAGTATGATTGACAAAGAAACTGTACTTATTTAATTGAGAACATGCATATCAGCAATAACGGATCCAGAAATTAAAATATAGACCGGGCCAATCGATCTCTAAAGTTTATTCATAAATTATCCTAATTTTAATTTCGACAAAGAATAAAAAAGAAAGATTATAAGAAGTAGAATATTATCCTTAAACTAACTAAAAGGACCATCAATTAAAAAAAAAAAAAAAAAGTTGAGCATTGAGGGGGGGAAAAAGGCACAAAAAAGAGAGAAAATAATGTGACATACTGGTTTCGATCTCAGAACCAGCATTAATTGGGCTATAAGCACAAATGGAGCCAACTTAGCCAAGGTGCTTTGCATCTATTTTTTTACAGTTTAAATAGATAGTTGTATATAGTTTTTTAGGATCATGGGGCGGGCCATGACCTGGGCTGGCCACCCCCTAAATCCGTCATTGCACATAGGATCTAAATTATGATTAAAGCTAAGTCTACTAATTAGAGCAATTGATGGATAAAAACTGACTTGTTACTCAAAGTAAAATAATTTGTCTCCATAAGTAGAAAAGACTCAAAGTAGAACAAAGTTTTCATATGAATATGACTAGCATGTTCTAAATCATACGAGGGAGTGTTGAGCATGCGTATAATATTTGGTGCATTGCCCTTACATTTGGATTATCAAGGGCAGTTATTAAGTTTTCATAGCTACACTTTAAGCCAAATAAAGGTAGCTACTAGCTAGTAAATAATATCCTACATTATTACGCATTTACTTTTATTAGATATATTTTTTTTGTGGTTAGAGAGCCACAAGAACGAGAGATGAGAATCGATCTTAGGATTTCCTGAAATTGAGAGGGAAGCTCTAACTAATTGAGTTAATCCTCACTCTCTACTTGCATTAGATATGCTTATATGTTGTAGTAATATCTTTGATTAACAGGTTTTTTTTTTTTTTTTTTTTTTTTTTTTTTTTTTTTTTAATTTCTTTCTCTTTCGGATGGGGGAACGGGGGATTAATTTTATCAAATAATGCTCTATAAGGTAAGTAACTTTTAATTAGTTCTCTTTATTTCATAACCTTCCTTTGTTCGGAGCCTCTTGTAGACTTGTACTTATCGTGATATCGTATTCACTTGGGTTTTTTTTTTTTTTTTTTCTTGAAATAAAAAATCTAGACAATAAGGATCCCGAGGGAGACAATCTTTCTAGTAGTACTGTAATTTCTATCTCTAATTACTCTTTTGATCTCTAAAAAGAATAAGGCAAAGTTTATGTACGTGAGTAATCTGAGTATACACAATTATTAACCAGGAGAGTGACAACTATAACAAGTGATTAATTTATCAAATAAAGTATAGAGCAATCTTCTAGGGGTATATAATTTTGGTATATGGAGCAATTTGTTAGAAACAAGAGGAGTAAAAATTGTCATGAAAGTTGGCCTACATTATAGAATACACTTGAAAAACCTTTTAGGAGTTTGAATCATGGAATATTCAGCACATTCGTTGTGAACCTAACCAAGTTGCAAATTCACTAGCCAATGTTGTGCTCGTTGTCTAAATTAAATATGATATACAGATATACTTGTATATGAGAGAGTTCTTGCTTTCTAAATTCAAAGATAAGTTGCATACAACTAAAAATTTTTATTGTTTTATCTCTCTTTATTATTAAACTAAGTACATGTCCCGGGCGTTGCCCCGGATACCCATTTTAAAGAGTATTTATTTGTGGGCATGCTTTGTATTATAGTTATAATTATAATTATAATAATAAAAATAATTATTATTATTAGTATTTTGTTGTGAAACAAGGAGAAACAATTGAGAGTGAATAAAATGTGTATTCTACTTATATTTTTATATGATGGAGGCATATATATATATACACACACACACACATACAATACAATTGATAGGGTTTGCTTGGAGAATAATAAACCCTAAAATCTAGAAAGTTCCGGAATGATACAAGGGTATGTATAATGGGCATCCACAAATATATTTCATAAACTCCCCCTTGGATGTCCATTATCGAAAACTATGCCTCGTTAAAACCTTATTAGGAAAAACCTTGTGGGATAAAAACCTAATGAAAGTAAAAGAGTACAACATTCTTCGTAATACACTTGAGATGCTGCCTCATTAAAAACCTTACCGAGAAAACCCAATGTGGAACAAAACCATGGCCAAGGGAAAAAGAGTGCAACGCGTATTTTCTCCCCCTAATAAATACATAACTTGAGATCTTCAAGTGTCGCAACAATGAATCCAAGATGGTTGGATATCTTCTCATATGCAGTAAAATATCATTCGTTGATCTTCCATCCTCCTAAACTAAAATTGCATCTTCAAGTCTTTAAGTCTTCACGTGAACATGTGAAGTGTCTTCATTTCACCATACATGTGTTTATCTCTAATATCATTATTTCAAATCTCTGTTTAATCGTTGATTTAAAAGTTAAACTTATGCGGTTATGACTTCTTTTGGAGGTCATGAATAATAGAAATTGATTATCATTATTTGATCAAACATTTATTAATAATAATTTGATGACAAAACTTGATATTATTAATGTCGTTCTTCAATCTCATATGAATTATAATATAACACATGTAATTATATACGCTAATCATGGTTCTTCTGGACCATAAGAAAACATTCTCACGCATAAGTATTCGATACATTGATATTATTTAGGAGTTTCATAATTGACACGATAGCTCTCTTGTAAATACAAATAGTAAAATCTCACTAACTCTCATATGCTCAAACTTCTGGTTGCGATGTCAATGATGTAGTCACATAGACTTTTTAAGAGTTTGATAATAACTGCAATATTCAAGATATAAACTTTGTAGGGCTAATATAAGCTCTTCAGAAACCCTTCTTACATGATTCATAACAGGCATTTAAATCAGCATCATCGTCAATCGTTTCATCACAATTACAAACCCATTGGAATATAAATATCTCTTTCTAATTTTCCATCAAAGCTATAAATAATATGCCTTACTATACATTGAATGAACATTCATATACACCACAATTATTGTATAGAAAGTAATGCATGCAATATGAGATATAGAAAACATGATAACATATTAAACAAAATATACAATGAGTAATGCATCTAATAACTTTTAACATATGCAGTGAATAATCCATTAACCTATGACTCACACACGCATATGAACATACATAGGACTCAAAATGATGCAAGACATTGTACAGTGTGGATTTAAAAATCCATATTTCGGACTTCTGGTCCATGAAATTATTATCATTATGTCGACATTAAAATGGACATATATATTCCAAATCCTTTATTCACTAGTCCATTCTATAATGCATATGCATATTATTTATCGGTTCCACAGTATATCGGTATTTTAAAATTCAGTAAAATACAATTTCGCATGCTAATTTACTACGATATCTGAATACATCTCCAATTGGTACCATTATAACCTTTTTTCATATCATAGGTCATCTATTATAATTCTCAGATATCTATATATACCACTTCTATCTACGGTATTTCATACATTATGGTATTAATATCAACTATATCTTGTCATATATCACATATATTGGAACCGATCTTATAATCTACACTTCAGGTGTAGTGATTCAACGAAAATAGGCAAGATCCATCTCAATGTATGCACATTCTCACTATGACCAAAATATATTTCTCTATGCGTTTGAATGGGTCATAATGGTGTACAAATCAAATAATAGATGTGCAATTTTACAAAGTATATTATAGGGATCAACTAATTATAATTTTGCAATTTTGCCAACTTACTTCAATTCTTCTCCCCTAAGTTGGTAAAATATCTCAAACATTAAGGCAACTCTTCACCAACTTAGAATATAATGTCAAGTTCAATAAATTTCATCTTGTAGGATAATCATATTCAACAAATTTTCACCTCTTCTGGAGAATAATGTAATTTCTATCTCTTTTGGAGATCAATCTTAACAGGGAGTCATGATTGGTGCAGTTGTCAATTTTCTTATTCTATTTCGTATGTGCTAACATAAAATAGCCCCAATCAAGAGATTAATCACTTGTATATAAAACCACTATATGGTGATCTTCTACTTCTCCAAATACTTTAATAATGAGTTTCTAGTTAGTTAAAATCTCTACACACAAGTTGTTTTAGTGAGCTTCTGGTCACTTATTACTTGTTTACAT